AAGATCTTCGTCTATGGGGAGATGAATCACTAGAATCTGAGCTGGATGATCTGAAATTCAAATGCATGAATGGAAATGATGATGTTAGGCATAAAATTGCAATTAAACGCGATCCTGATTTAGATAAAAATAAAATAAAATCGAAATTATTTACCTGGATCTTCTACTACGCCTCCGATGATATCTGTTACTATGATCCGAATCTGATTCACTAGAATATCTTGCCATGACTGTCAGCTAGTTCTTCACCTACTTCACATTTAGGTTAAGCTTAATATCACTGCAACAGATAATACGATAGCGCTATCTATACGTATAAATTTAAAGCCATACATGGATTATAAATAATTTATTATTGAGGGGCTTACAACGAATTTAATAAATATCATTTAGACAGTAACGTTTAGGTAAATTAAATTATTCAGTTTCTTACAAGAAAACTGAAGATTCTATTAACAGTTAGTCTTAATAATTTTATATGCATTAAGCATTTAAATACCATGTATACCCATTTTTTCGCAATATTTCAACGCTCTCTAATCTATCAAATCTGTTCAATGATCTCTATCAATATTTATTAAGCGTTCGATACTTATAAGTAAAACTTTCAAAAATTTAATACGTAGTCTGAAATTTATTAAAATTAAAAGGTATTTTACAATAGAACATTCTTTGAAATATATATCTTTAATTTTTGATGCTCTCTTGATAATTTCAATAATTTGTCGATTGTTTCCGGTAATAGGCTGTAAATTTTTTCAAATATAAAAAGTTTACGTATTGGTGTTGCTTTTCAAGAAGTTTCAAAGTTAGTAGAAATTTAATGTAATATAACATGGCGCCGGTAGACAATTCACCAAGAGAAAACATGGGAGCGTTTGATTTTATATATTCGATAAAAGCGAATGATACGATACCGGTACATATTTACAAATCTAGAGATACTGGAATTACGGTTTGTATAGCGGACGTTGAAGGGCCTATTGTAAATGGTTACTTCTGTCTTGGTAATTTGTTTTTATTATTTCTTGTGTTTTTCTTTTAAACATTATGTTTATTTAATTTTACTATCTTATACACATAAAAATATTATTCTTACAAATTTAGCTACTGAAGCACATGATGATGACGGACTACCTCACACATTGGAACATCTTATTTTCTTGGGCAGTGAGAATTATCCATACAAAGGTGTTTTGGATTTATTGGCCAATAGATGTTTGGCATCTGGTACCAATGCAGCGACACAAGTTAATTGTACTTTTTATACCATGACAACTGCTGGAAGTGAAGGATTTTTATCTTTAATGCCTATATATCTAGACCATATATTTTATCCAATGCTCACGGTATAAAATATTATTTAATTTAATTTATTATTATTACTTAATTAATAAATCACAATGCAAGATGTTTTTGATAATAAAATTAAGTATAAAATTGTTTATTAAGAATGCAGGTTTTCTTACGGAAGTACATCACATTAATGCTGAAGGTGAAGATGCAGGTGTAGTCTATTGTGAAATGCAAGGAAAAGAAAATATAGGAGAATATTTGGTATATGTAGAATTGTCTAGAGCAATATTTCCTGGGCGGTGTGGTTATAAATCTATTGTTGGAGGTAAAAGATATATATAAAATTTTCTAGAAAAATATACATAAGTTTTCTTGTGTATTATTATTTTTATAAAAAAACCATCTTTTTTACAGGAGCACTGAAAAATCTAAGAGAAAGTACTACTAATGAAAAAGTAAGACAATATCATCAAGAATTTTATAGGCCAGAGAATTTAACAATAGTAATTACTGGCCAAGTAAAACACGCTGATGTGTTCAAGGCATTACAAATTATAGAAAAAAAAATAATATCAAAAGTATATATAATTGTTTGTATTTTAATTCTTCACTACTTCCAACAACATAATTAGAATTAAACAAATGTTGTAGGGAAATAGAGGTTTCTTTAAAAAACCTTGGCAGGATTCTGTACCACGTCTCACTCAAAATGTAGATTTGAATGTGTATTATCCTTGTGATGATGAAGATAATGGAGTAGTACATGTTGCTTGGCGGGGACCGTCCCCTATTACCGAAATGTATGATCTTATTGGTTGTATATTACTTTTAAAATATCTTACAGATACATCAGTTAGTCCAGTGCAAAAAGAATTTGTTGAAATTGATGATGCATATGCTAGTAATGTTGGCTATTCTTATTGTAAATATACAGTATCTGTATTATATCTCGCATTTGAAAGTGTATCAAAATCAAAAATTTCTTTGGTGAAAGATCGGCTGTTAAAAGTATTAAATGATGTATATAAAAAAGGTATTGACATGAAACGAATAAGAACAGTCATACATAGACGCATTCTTGAAGCTTTGAGTAGTTTGGAAAACGAGCCTCATGATACAATTGCACACATGTTTTTTGGATATGCACTTTATGGTAATACTAAAGAAGACGTAAGTACTTGTTGCATCGAAACTTTACTACTTAAAGTGTTCTTGTAATAATCACACATTTACTTTTGAAATTTTAGTTGGATCAGAGAACTAATCAGATACAAGCTCTTAAAAAATTAGAAACTGAACCTGAATCTTACTGGTTAAATTTGTTACAAACATATTTTCTTGATTCTCCATTCGTATTAATTAAAGGAATTCCTAGTCTAGAAAAAAGACATGAATTAACTGAAAAAGAAAAAAATCGTGTGGTTAAACAAATTGAAAATTTAGGTAAAGAAGGACTCCAACAGAAAGAAAAAGAGCTGCAAGAAGCAATTGCTAAAAATGATGTGCGTAAGTTTACATTCATATATGTCACATATAATATATTTTTTAACATTTTTATGTATTTTTAGATGAAAGTACCAGATGAAATATTAAGTTCTGTTCCTATCCCATCTACTCACCTTATCAACTTTCACTATATAAAAAGTTATACAACAGAAGCCAATAAGCAACACTCCAGATTTGACATATCCAAGTTACCGTTTTATACATACTTGGATCATGTTAATACAAATTTTGTTTATGTACGTATTTATTTATTATTTAATTGCATTTAAGACATCAGTTGACTAATTATGTTCTTTTTTTTATAGATGTTTGTTATTATGAATACTGCAGATGTTAAAAAAGAATATAAACCTTATATTCCATTATTACTGGAATTATTAATGGAATGTCCAGTAATGAGAAATAATCAACTCATTCCATACGAAGAAATTGTAGCTGAGTTAGAAGCAGATACTATATCCAATGATACTAACCTTGGAATAACTAGTTCTTCAAGGTTTTCATGTGGGCCATACAGCTACACTGCTTTGTTAATGCTTCATGTAATGTTAATGTTTATTTATGTTAATGTTCGTTTAATAATTATTTGATGATCCTAAATAATTGTCTTTTTGTAGCTTGAAATGGAAAAGTATGAAAAAGGTGTACAATGGATTAAAGAACTTTTGTATGAAACTAAATTAACTCCAGATAGATTAAAAATAACAGCTGCAAAAATAATAAACGATGTCGCTCAATTTAAAAGACAAGGGAATAAAGTTGTGAATGATTTGATGCGAGGATTAATATATAAAAAGGGTAAACAGATATGTAAAATTATGTGTGCGCAGGCACCGATATACGTGTAATTATAAATAATGACTGTATTTTTTATTTTTAGATAGTAACCAATTCGTATCCAGTATATTGCGACAACAGAAATTTCTTAATAACATTTTAGAACGTTTAAATGATGAAACAGGACAAAAAGCAGTTATCTCAGAAATTGAATCTGTTAGAGAAGTATTAACAACGCCTAAAAATATGGTATTGTATATGGCAACTAACGTAGATAAATTAACTGCTCAAGTACCAAATGTTTATAGTCCATGGAACACTTACTTTTCTACATTTGATACATCAAGCAAGACTAAGTTAGTTTATTTTTATAGTTTAAGTTATAAATTACATATTCGCATATAAATTATAAACATGTAATTATACAGACTTGAAGCCATTCCTGATTCAACATTGATAAATTCTCCAGATGAGATTCCATTTAAAGGTTGCGTTACGGGATTAGGTTGCATAGAATCTTCTTATTTACGTCAAAGCTGTCCATGTATAAATGATTACCATAGTCTAGATCTAGCTCCTTTACTTGTTTGCATAAAATATTTAACTCAATTAGAGGTAACTAAAGAATGATTTAGTGTCTATTTAATAATTTTAAAAGTGTTTGTTATATATTTAAATATTAATATTTTTAAGGGTCCTATGTGGAGATTCATTAGAGGTCAGGGTCTATCTTATGGATATTATATTTATCCCAAACCAAATGAAGGCCTATTATATTTATCATTTTTTAAATCCACAAATATTGTAGCAACATATAAGGAAGCAAAATCGATTGTAGTAAATATATGTTTAGATTACAATTAATCAAATATGTGACATCCACAAAATGAAAATGAAAATATCATCTTTTACATTATTACAGGAGATTCATATTTTTGAGAATAAATGGGAAAAATTGCTTTTTGAATCAGCAAAATCTTCTTTAATATTTGAAATCATTGAAAAAGAGCAAAATATAGGAGACTTAGTACAACAATCACTATTATCTTACTTCAAAAATGTACCACATGGCTACACTC